GGGTCTGTAATCAGCCTCTGGTTGGAGTCTCTGGTCTGCATGTGGTCCTGTGGCTTGGTTGGTTTCTTAAGTCAGTTTGTTTGGACAGGCAGAAAAATGCTCTGCTTTACCCAGGATTTTGCGATCCTCCTCCCAAGTTAGTTCAATGGGAGGGGGTCTGCTTTGAGCATCACAAAAGAGGGAGATGGCTTTTTCCTCAAGTTTGGAGATGCTGTGATGAGGCTAGGTTCTGGGTAGAGTTGAGGCCTTTCAGCAAACAGTAGCTTTTCCCGGGGGCTAGTTTGTGAGAAACTCACAGAGCCCAGCCTCAAGCCACTGTCAGGATTTATGTTTACTGAATTTCAATTGATTGTCAAGGCTGCTTAAGGGAGGGGCAGCCTCTGGCTCTGATTACCCAGTGAAGAAAGCCACTCTTGGGGCTGGCACCCCAGCTGGGTGACTTTTCCCTGGGTGGACCTGTGTCTGGCAGGTCAGTTAGATTCTTGTGACCTGCTAAATGACTCTAGTTTTCTTCCAAGGCCTGAGTTGGAGCTAGCAGCTCTGCCAAGCTTTGTCAGTATCCAAGATGGAGATCTCTGGTACTGGGGGGAGCGAGGGGTGGCCTTCCCTCCTCTGCTCCCTGAGAAGGAGTGAAGACGTTTGGCTTCTACTCATGAAGAGTCTTGGTTCCTGGGTCGTCTCCGGTCTACAAACTGCAGGATGAAGATGTCTGCTCCTTGTCGGTTCTTGCTGGTATTGAGTAGAATCCACTAACCCGGTGCTTCTAGGTCCTTCGTCTCAGACTCTCTGTGTTTCACGTTTGGCAGGTCTGGCCACCGCCGCCACCGGCACCACCACTGCCGCCGTAGCAGCAGCTGCTGGCAAGTTCTCTGATCAGTCTCCTTGCCTGAATTTTCCTTCTCTGGCCACTCTGTCCTGTGATGGCACACTTGGTGTGATTCTCTGGCTTAGGACTGTTCACTTGAACTCTAAAACTGCTTTCTATGGGAGAGCTTGTTTAGCCTCCAAATTTTCCTCCATCATCTTCACGGAACCTCCTACTTGTTTCTATTTTTATGGAGACAGTGGCTAGACATTTCATGTCACCCTTACATTCTATTTCTATTAACAGTGCTGTTTGTTAAAAGAAATTTTATTAAGCCATCCTATGAATACTTGTCAGCCAATGAAAAAGCAGGATCTAGTCAATGACAAGTCAGTAGACAGCCAATGAGGGAGCAGGATAAGCCAATTACAAAGCAGGATGCAGCCAATGAGAAAGGGTACAGCCAAGGACAAAGCAAGATATGGGCCATGACACCTGTATTTAGATCCTACAGCCTCCATGATTCTACACTGTGACAAGCATCAAGGCACTGGGACACAATGGAGAACATCAGTGTTCAGGATTCAGGCAACAAATTGGATTGCACTGTGGAGAGACTATGGCTCTGGGTATACTGCTGTAACCATGAGACTTTCTGGAGTGTGTCCTAAGAGACAGGGCCTACTTCTCTACTTTAGAGGCTGTTGCACATTGGTTAGTTCTTTTTCCTTTTTTTTTTTTTTGCTCAGAGACCAGGACTCCAACTTGGTATGTTTCACGCTTGCTAATTGGCTGATGCACTGAGAGCCTAGAATCCACCACTGGACATTGGGCCTAATTGGAAGTGTATTTCCATTGCTATTTCCTCTTTATAAGGCTGTATACTGGCTGGGAAAGGGGCTTAGTAGTACAGTGCTTGCCTAGCATACATGAATCCCTGGGTTTGATTCCTCAGTACCACATACACAGAAAAAGCCAGAAGTGGCACTGTGGCTCAAGTGGTAGAGCACTAGCCTTGAGCAAAAGAAGCTCAGGGACAGTACCCAGGCCCTAAGTTCAAGCCCCAGCTTAAGCTTGGTCTTTGTAAATCTTGTGCAGATCACAGTGTGGTGGTGGGATGTCCCATTCTGGTTTTGTCTGTTTGGGGTTCTAAAGGCTTCTGGTATCAGAGTGGACCTATCATTTGGATGTTCAGAAGTTTCTCTGCTATGATTATGAAATGAATCTGATATATTTTTCATTGGACTTCCTTTCCTTTGGTTAGAGTTAGGTTTTGCCTTTTTTTTGGTGGTCATGGGGCCTGAACTCTGGGCTGGACACTGTCCCTCAGCTCTTCAGCTCAAGGTTAGCGCTCTACCACTTGAGCCACAGCACCACTTCCAGGTTTTTTCTTTTTGCTTCCGCGGTGCTTAGGAATCCAACTCAGGGCCTCATGCATGCTACGCAAGTACCCTATCACTGAGCCACCATCCCAAGTCTTTTGGTTGGAATTCATACTGCTTTTTGTTTGTGGATTCCATGAATTCCTCTATTAATCTTTCATTAGCCTCATCATGCTCAAGTATAGCCTCATGCAGACTTTCAGTCTTTTCATTCAGCATGTTTACAAGTACTGTTTTTAGAACTTGAGAACTGTCCTCTAGGTTTTTCATTCATTGCTCTGTTGCCTATTTATTTTGAGTAGAGATTGAGGTTCCTTGACTTGCCATTTTTCTTGTTTTTCTATGACTAGTTCTGCCCATTTAGAAATGAGAGTAAATCCAGTACCATTCCAGGAATCATTTTTAAGACAACAACCAACCCAGAACCTATAGCTGCACAGTTTAAGGGTTAACAATCATAGGCAGGTATTTTAACTCTATCTTTCCTTTTAGGATATGAAAGCAATTCTTGTACCACCACAGAACACACTTTTAAGACAAAGACCAACACCAATCCCTGTATTTGCACATATTTTAGAGGTTCGAAATAGGAGATAGGTGTTCTCCTATTGACCTGCCCTTTTCTTTGTTACAGGAGGGGTATTGTTCTTCCAGAGTGGGGAATATATATATATATATATATATATATATGTATGTATATATATATTTATATATATACATATATATATATGTATATATGTATATATGTGTAGATATATATAATTGAAATAAGTGAACAAATCTGTCATGAGCTTTAAAGCAGTCTGAACCAAAAGTATGACACAATAATCTGCTTTGACACAGTCAAAATGGATACAGATAGAGTCTAGATCAACAACAATCAAATAGGGATCAGTGGACTAAAGCAAAGGAATAAGGACCAGAAATAAAGGAAAATGAGTTGAGGTGAATTAGAAGATTGAGAGATATACTGAAAGCTAAGACCTAAATTCAGAGAAAGAAAAACCTAAGAAAAAACAAAGGAAGAAATGAAGATATTTAAAAATGTATAAATGTTTTCCTTCTCAGCACTTTCCCTGTTCTCTGAGCTCTCTTTCCCAGCTCTCTCTCTTTCCCAGTTCTTTCTCACTTCATTTCCCAGCTCTCTCTCTTAGCTCTTTCCCAGGCGTTTCTCATCAATGAGGAATGCCAACCTGGCCTGGTCCCAGCAAGTATACTGAATAAACCTAACCCGTACCTGAAAAAAAACGTGTATATGAATAAAATAAAAATTCTACAATTAAAAATAATAAAATTCACCAATAGAAATTTTCTTAAAATATATCCTGAATTAAGTATACACACAATTAAGGAGGAAGCCTAGTAATCACCATAGGCTGTGTAGGAATAAACAGCAATGAAGAAGAAAAATGGGAAAATATATAAATGAAATAAAAATAGAAAAAATAAAAATTCCATTTAGAAAACAATTCTTCAATTTATTTGTGTCTCCCCTATGTCTGCTACCCTGTCTCTAGATGGACCCTTTGATTTCTTTGCAGTGATTGGTTTTCCTTATGGCTTAGTTGTTTTCTCAAATCAGTTTGAGCACACAGAAAAATGTTCTGCCTTGCAACCTTGCAAGCCCTATGTCCCGCATCTCAGGCTAACTCAGTGGGAGAGGGGATCAGCTTGGGGTAGAATGCAGGAAGGAGGTGGCTGGTTTCTGCAGGTTGGAGTCTCTGCAAGTGAGCTTGTGTGTGGGTGGGGTTGTGGCATGTCTGGAATCAGTGGCTTTTCCCAGTTTGTCTAGCTCTTGAGACCCTTTTTTGGCCCGGCTTGGAGCCACTCTCACTTTTGCAGTCTATACAGTGAGATTTCACAGCCTTTTGGATTTTTAATTCCTATAGGGGCTAAGCTCTGAGAGTAGATGCTATATGACTGGAATGTCTTTGTTCACTGCTAAGGGGCGGGGCTGACCTTCTCTGCCAACCCTGGCAAAGTTGTCTCTTCTTGGGAAGAGCTACCTCCTCCTGGGCGGGGCAACCTTCCCCTAGGTGGAGTTTACTATCACTGATCAGATTCCTTTGTCCTGTTGAAAAATGATACCACAGTTGCAGCTTCTCTGGCCCAAGTTATCTACTAGCTGCTTTGGCAGGCTCTATTGCAGTATCAAAGATGGTGTTCTTTTGGAGTGTTGGGGGAGAGCTACTTTCCAGTCGCTGTTCTCTGAGATGGGGTGAAGATGTTTTTGGGTGTATACATACTTTCCCTGTTTTTTGGACCATCTAAGATTTGTGGCAGCAGGATGTGGATTTTCACTCCTAGTAATCCAGTTTGCACTGGAGATGAGTGCTAAGCCACACCCACTCTGTCTCTGGTGTCTCCAACCTGTGCTCAAATGGGCTTTCTTAAGCAGGCTGCCTGAATTTTTCCTCTCTAGCCTGAATCTCTGTATAGGGTTTGAAAGTATTCCTTTTGGATTTCTTGGATGTTCAGGATATAGCCAATAGCAAAGCAAGATGAAAATCAGTGAGGCAGTAGGATGGAGGCAATGAGAAAGGACAAAGGCAGTGACAAATCAGGATACAGTCCATGAGGAAGCTGGATGCAGCCATTGACAGGTTAGGAGGTAGCCAATGATGAAGGATGAAGCCAATTACATAGCATAATGCAATCAACAAAAGATACAGCCAATCATAAAGCAGAATGAAGCCAATGACCAAGCAGTATATAGACAATGGCACGTATTCTTAGGTCCTCCAAATTCCACGACTCTTCTCTGTGAACAAGCAGTATGGCAAAGGCACTCAAGGGAGAAGATCAGTGTTCCTACTTCAAAAAACAATGTGAAACTCTAGGGCAGCGCTGTGTAGAGAGTATGCCCATGCATGTCCCGCTCTCACCACTACATTTTCTTTAAAGATGGCCTGAGCAAAAGTGTCTTATCTGTCTACTCCATTGGCCACTGCACATTGGTTAGTTCCTTTATTATTTTCTTTATCTTTGATTGGAGACCTTTACTGAAACAGGGCATGTCACATTCTGCTCACTGGCTGATGCTCCATCAGCCTCCATTCCTACCCCTGGACATCGAATGTGCTTTGAGGTCTATTTACTGTTATCTTTCCTCTTTGTAATTCTTTATGCCCTAGTAGTTCCTTTGTTCATAAGTTTGAATCCTCAACTCTATTTGTGGACTTTCACATCTACTCTCGGTATGTGTTGAGCCAATTTGCATCAACTTGACCATCATGTTTGATTGCTTTCTAGCACACCTGTGTGTGAGAAGTATGACCCTTTTCCTTTCCCCCTGGCCCACCACATGCTGGGTTCTGCAAACCCATGGTATATGGTCACCCTTGTTGCCAGGCTCCCAGTGGGGAAGGCAAAGAATCTCTACATCTCAGGATGTACCCAGGGCTAAGAGATCCAACATTTAATAACCAGCTGGGTCTTGAAGTTTACTTTCTGGTGACTTTGACTTTGAAAAAACACACATCTTGAAATAGTAGTTCTGTTCATTTAATTAATAAATGTAGCATATTCTCTAAGAGATTCCATTGGCACCTGGGAGAGTGGGCTGTGTCTCCTGTGGAGGCATCATATTAATGCCCAGTAAACAAGACCATCCAGGCAGCAGGTGACAGTGACTGTTTCCACTGGGAGAAGCCTTGTCACACCAATCCTGCTATACATTGGTGGCTGGGCACCGGCAGCCTACCCAAGATGCCAGACTGCTTCTGGGAAGCTGTTCTCTGTGAGCAGAATTACGAAGCTCTCAACCTTGACAAGTCTGTGAGGTAAGAAGAGGTCTGAAGGCTTCATTATCCTCTTTACCCCAGCTTTACAGTATTTCCTGCTACACATGCTGTGATTTGAAATTGAGTTGCAACAGTGCTTTCATCAGGGAACATAGAAACCTAAATGTTTCCTACAATGAATTTATCTGCAATAGCCTGCAAATCCCTAACATTTGGGGGGGGTGGTTATGAGGCTTTTACTCTGGGCCTGGGCACTTTCCCTCAGCTCTTTAGCTCAAGCTAGCACTGTACTACTTGATCCACAGAACCACTTCTGGTTTTCTAGTGGTTCATTGGAGATGAGAGTCTCATAGGCTTTCCTGCCTGGGCTAGCTTTGAACCATGACCCTCACATCTCAGCCTCCTGAGTAGCTAGGATTACAGGCATGAGCCACCAGCACCCAGCTACCCTAACATTTTTTACTGATAATTTAGAGAGAGATCTACAGATACCTGTTATTTATCTAGGTACTTTTGTCTGTCCTGTGGCTTGATTCAAGGCCAGGTCATTGTCCCTGATCATTTATGCCCAAGGCTAGGCTCTATGTCATGAGCCAAA